AGGGGCTGAAGCACAAGTCTGATGAGGAGCAGCTAAGGAAGCTGTGGGGGCTCAGCCTGAAGAAAAAGAGGCTCAGAAAGGACCTTCTCATTCTTTACAACTCCCTGACAGGAGGTTGGAGACAGGTGGGCATTGGGCTCTGCTCCCAGAGAACAGGTGAGAGCCCAAGAGGAAATAGCTCCAAGTTGTGCCTGGGGAGGTTTAGGTTGGACATTAAGGAAAATTTTTCACGGAAAGGGTTGTCAAGCAGGGGCACAGGCTGCCCAGGGCAGTGGTGGAGTCACCATCCCTGGAGGGATTTAAAAGCCATATAGATGTGGCACTTGGGGACATGGTTTAGTGGTGGCCTTGGCCATGCTGGAGAATGATTGGACTTGATGATCTTAGAGGGCTTTTCCTGCCTAAATGATTCTGTGATTCTGTGGTGCCACTTACAGTTCTTGTTATACTTTGCTGAGCTTCAGTAGGGCCCAGTTAGCCTGGCATTGCCCTGGGCTTCTGCCCTGATGTCTAATAACCCAGGAGGAGATGGCAGAGAACTGCTGGAAATGCTAGGAGAGCCCTCCCAGGCTCCAAACTAGGGCAACCACCGAGTCTCCTCGCTGGCACTGCCAGGGCAGCAGCAGAAGACACAGTGACCAGACTGATCCTCCCTTCCTCCGCCTCCCAGTGCAGCATCCGTCAGTCCACATGACCCTCCCCCTACCAAAATTGGCTGCTTTCTTCCTTCTTCTCCCCCCCTCCTTTTTTTTTGGCTGAGTGATGAGCTGTATGCCAAATCCATCTGCTCCTGTCTCCCCTAGCTGCCTTCCATATCGTTACAGGATCCCTGGCAGCGAGCCTAGACCTATCTCTCTCCCTGCACTCTTAGGAGCACATTCCTTTCTACACCTTTTCCCGAGCTGGGATAGAAATGAGTATCAACCCCAAACAAAAAGCATCTGCTTTCTGCCTGCTTCTGCTTCACCGGACGCGCATGTACGCTACACCCGTGTCAGCAGCGAATGCAAAACACACACAACCCCCCACCTCGCCGCCCCCCAGCCAACATGGGCTGACGAAAGTTTGGGCGCTGGGAGACTGCCTCACACCCTCTCCCTCTCCGTCTCCGCAGCACCAGCTGTGACCACCGCACCATTTGTTCCTCCAGCCCACGCCAGCACTCGGAGCCAGTTCTTTATCACCCCAATTAGCCTTGTCTGTGCTGATGAGAGGAGAGAGGCTTCCACTGCAAGGCAGGGATGGGGAGAACAGAGCTGGCGTGTGGTGGGCACTGGGAGAGGCGATTCCCTTTGTGGGGGCTTTGTTTCCCGGGAGGGATAGATTTCACCAGGTCAGGGGCACTGCTAAAAGGCCAATGCTGTCCTCCTGCCTGCGTTACCTGTGTGGGGCTGGTTTATAAACAGTTGCTTCAATAAGGTCAGGGGATACTGTTTCTCAGCATTTGGAGTTTTTCACCTTTTTTCCTCACTTGGACATGTCTGTTAGTGGGAAGAGGAGCATCCTCAGGCTACACAGCTGCCAGATGTTGTGATGGGTTGTGGCTAGTGCTGGCCACATTCCCTGGATGAGTTTGGAGATGCACCTTGCCTGTGTCCCCAGTGAGGATCTTCCTGCATCTATAGTAAAACTTCCAGTAGCCTCACAGGGAGTGAAGAAATTCCCCCTTCTCCCACTCCCTCATTTTAATGTGTCCCATGTTGTTAGGATACCAAGTGGTCAGTGCAGCCATCCGCCTGGAAACCTGGTTTTTTTCCCCCCAAACAAACCCCTTGTAGCACTGTTTGGGAGTGGTGCTTCTACACCATGGTTTCCTCATTGCTGTTGTGAACTTGCATTTCTCCTTGACTTCTGGATTCATTGTTGAAGGCCCTTTCCTGGTAGACACCCCAGTGCCATCATTCCAAAGTCAGGAAGGAGATCCATCCTTTGCCCCAGCACAGGCACATCTACCCCACTGGGAGGAAGAGGATGGACACAATTCAAACCAAGTCCCACAGTGGGCACTTGGTTTGAAAGTCACTCTGTGTTAAGTGGGACAGGTTCCGTCAGTATAGTCCCAGCACTGTAGAACCTGCTCCTCAGACCACCCTCCAAGTCAGGTGTTTCTTGAGAGGAGTTTCCAGCATGGCCATGACCAAGAAGGACCCTGCTGGGGGTCTTCTTGGAAGCTGAGGCACAAGAAACTTGACAAGAAACTGGTCTCCAGATCTGTCTCACAATTCCATGTCCAGTGAAAGGTTGGCTGAGCAGGTTCAGGATGCTGGACAGCTGGAATAGCAATTTACGTCAAAACAGGTGAAATTACACTTTGCAACAAAAAAAACCCCTGATGACTTCAAAGACTGAACTGATGCACAATAAGGTTGTGATTTAATGTTGTCCATCACCATGTGTCCATCCTGCAGTAGAATCATGGGATCCTTAAGTTTGGAAAACCCTCTGAGATCACTGAGTCCAGCTGTTCCCCCAGCACTGCCAAAGCCACCACTAATCATGTCCCCAGGTGCCACATCAAAATGTTTTTTGAAAACTTCCATCTTAGACATTCATTCCCATGTCCTTCTGCTCAGTCACCACAATCTGCCTCAGAACTATCCCACCTCAATCCCATCCTTCCTAAAATCACCACATCTCACACCCTTCTGTACTGCCTTGCCATGGATGAAGAGCTCAGCCATGCAGGGAATGGAGCTGTTTCCCTCCTGTACTCATGGGAAGGAAGCTGAAAAAAACCTACAGGCAATTATCTCATCTGTCTCCTTCCATCAAGACAACCTCAATTCTGCTTAAACTGTTCTTGATGGGTTTCATCTAATTTGTGCTGCAAACTTCCCACCACAGACACCCCACACCTTCCCCAAGCATTTGGTTGCGATATTTTGCTCCTTCCCACTAGGATACTCTTCCTGCTGTTCAGCTTGGATCGTACTCGATGCTTTTTGAATTGTGTCCCAAGAGAGCGTGAACAAAACATTACTCCTTTCTTCTGTTCCACAGCCTCTTGCACATGCAAATCCCACCACACATCCCTGGAACTTCTCTCTTCCAGGCTCCACACATCCAAGTCCTCAACGTTTCCCCATGGGTCGTGCTTTCACACCACTAATGTAGGGTCCACCAAAGCAGATGTGACTTTCCTTGGAGCTCCCACTTCTCCAACTCCCATTGAATTGGGAGGGACTGTGGTGGCTCTTCATTAGCTTTCTGTGGAGGCTTCCCAGTAGTAGGTTGTGTTTTGAGCTGCCACATATCCCCAAGCCCTAGTGATGCCAGCATGGATGGTCAGCATTGAACCGCCCAATTCCAGATCATTTTAAAGCACACCACACAATCATTTAGGTTGGAAAAGGCCTCCAAGATCATCAAGTCCAACCTTTGACTGATCACCACCTTGTCAACTAGATGGAGTGCCATGTCCAGTTGTTTCTTGAACACCTCCAGGGATCCCAGTGGGTGAATCCACCCAGCCTCAAAGCCTTGGAGCTTTTCTGTGTGTCTCTGCAATAAAACTCCCCAAACAATAGGAAGAAAAGCTGCGTCAGAGCCAGGCAGATCAGAGTTAATCCTCCCTCAAAATGGATCCCGTCAGTGCCGGGGGTACGTGAGAATCGCCTCTCCTGCACCTTTGCTGGTGCTCTCCCCGGCACAATGCTTCACTTTGTGTTTCAGCACAGAAAGAAATGGTGAAGTTGCTAATAATGGCACTAAAAGAAAATATGCTACATCTGTTATGGATAGCAGTACAAAATTAGCTGATCACACCTCTGACACCCAAGATGTCTTCACTTAAAATACTCGTTGGCTTACTTTACATAATTTGCTGATTATATTTAAAAGAAATACAATTTTGCAATTACTGTTCTTTCTGGTGTGCTATCTATGCATCATTTTCTTTTTATGTTTATATATTTCTCCTTCATTAGTGCAGTCTGAAGGGTGATTAGATCCCTTCAAACATTTTACAGAGGTTAAACGTTGATTAAGATTTAATTATTACTGTAAATAGCTTGGAATGACATATGGTGCAAAAACCTGACATATGTGCATTTGAATAAATGAAGTGCTATTTCCCATGATGCTTCAGTAGCTGTTTAACAGCTTTGCTGAAGGGTTATGTTGCACCTCATGTTAAGATTGCTTTGATGTTATATTTTGTTGGGTTTTTGCAGCTGAAAGCTAAGAACAGTTTTTCCAGTTTTTAAAAACATTGAATATTTTAAATACCTAAATTGTTTTGCACAAATTTTTGCTAATTTGTCTAACTAGGTTAAACATTTTCAAAAGCATTTCGATTTTTAACGTGGGTTCCTAGCATTGTGTCAGCAACAGCATCGACTCCATGTAGAGGATTTCACAAAGTCCGGTCTTTGCGAGGTGCCATGTCCCGCTTCGAAGTGGGATCTTTGCCGTGGGATCTGGGAACACCATGGATCCCTCCCAGGGATGCAAAGATTCAGAGTGATTTCAGAGAAAGTGAAAGCTTCATGTGAAGCTGGTAGAAAGGAAAAAATTCAGGAAAGGACTGGAGATTTTATGGAGAGGATGGAAAGGGTTAGGTAGAGTCTAGCTGTGATCTATCCCCGTTGGAGGATGGAGCCGGCACAGGGTTTGTTGTCCCCTCATGCCACCACGCAGGCCTTAGCTTTACCATGTCCAAACCACAGCTTGGGGACTGGATTCCTTCTAGCACCTTGGCTGTGGGAAAAGGAAGGGATCTCTGCTGGAAAACAATGGGTGGGATCCGTTTGAGTCTGGGAGATGCTCTATAATTCATTGAACACTGCCAGGCAGAGAGTATGCAGCAGTGTAATGTAAGTCAATCTAAACAGGCTTGTTTTGAGACTTGAGCAAAGTAAAGCACATTAAAATGACGTGGAAAAGGTGTGATTGGCATGGAATTATTTACATACTATACTTCTCTACATTCATTTATTGATCCATCGAGCTCCTGCTGCAGCACAACCATTTCTGATCGCACCTCCTCTTTGATTTCACAGATTGAGACATCTCGGCTGGAGCCAGAAATTGCAATGGCCACTACCAGTAAGACTGTAGTCTACAATAAAGGATTGTAAGTGGAAGTGGATCAACTCAGCCCAGAAGATTTGGGGAGGGGAAAGGGGAAACATGAGAACCCGACTGGGAAAAAGAAAACAACAACAAGATAAAAATACTAGAGCTCAGCGATAGTAACATATTCCTGCTCCCAGCAAACCAGGAGTAAATTAACACTTGCAGAGAACTGACACCTCACACCAGTCAAAAAGATTAATATCAGAAGTTTTAACTTAGCAACAAAAAGAAGTCACCTTCAAACACTTTAGAACTAGAAGAATCTCAGAATCAACAGCACTGCATGGAGGGATGTTTAACGTGTGTTTGCCTGGTTAGACCTAACCACATGAAAGTAGGCTTCACCAAGCAAATTCTGTTTTCATGTGAATTAAATCTCCACACTGATGCTGCACAAAACTAACTCCGTAGAGATCAATGGGTGCATGAATGTGAAAGTGTTGGAGAAGTGTCCTGGATTGATTTCATGCCAATCCCACCCCAGCAGTCATGAGCTAAGCAGACTTCATGCTTCAACGTGCACAGCAAAGGTCACGGCCTGTGCACTCTCCATTCCCCCCTCCTTCTTCTACAGATGGTCCTGGTGTCATCCTGCCCTTCATTGCAAGACTTGGTGTCACGGGAGCCCACTGTGGGCCTTGCACAAGGGCTTTTGCCTGGATTTCAAGATACTGGAAAGCCAACATATCCACGTGTTCGGTCTTGCAGCAAAAACGATGATGGATCTGCTCTTTTCTTTTGCATAGCCATGAAGGATGGGGATTGTCCCACCAAATGCGACCCTCTAAAAGGAAGGTGGTTAATGTAAGGTAATTGGCTAAGCCACGCTAGTTGTCTAAGGGCAGAGCATGCTTTTAAGTTTTAATCAGCCCTGAGGTGGTCAGGCAGTTGGAATAGGTGATCATTGTAGGTCCCTTCCAACTAGAATTCCTCTTCTCTTCCCTTCCCTTCCCTTCC